GACAAAGTCATTCACAATATTCTCATTGAAAAAAAAATAGAGATGTGGGTTAAATCAGCACTTAGGTGAATTTAGAATTAGCTGATGGATCACATTCAAAAAACTGATCCAACATCAACTCAAAAGACATCAGCGGAAGAGGACTTGGGATCGGTAGTGGGAGCCGTACTTGTATTAACATTCTTGTCATAGTGTTTACCAAATTTGTAGATGACACCAAGCTTGGTGCAACAGATACCAAAAATGGGCTGAATCTATTAAGACAACATTTGTCAGGGATAAATGTAAAGTTTTAAAGTTGAATTGAAAGAAATCAATCTCACGCTTCAGAAATCCAAAATGGCAGAAGTGTGGGTAAGGCAACCACCATTTGAAAGACTCCTACAGAGAGTTTGGTGGACTACACACTCAATCTAACTCAACGGAGTGATATGACAGCCAAGAATGTAAACACAACCTTCGGCTCCATTAAGAGGCACAGTGTCTAGGACTAGAAGGGAAAAATCCTGCTGTTCCTTGTCTTGGTCAAACCATACAGAGAACACTGTGTTCATTCTGGATGTTACATTTTAGGAAGGCAACTGAGAAGCTGAAGACTGGTCAGAAAGAGGACAATCAGGATGGTGAAGGGCTTCAAGATCACGCCACAGAAGGGCTGGTAGAAGGAGTAGAGCACATTGGACCTGAAGAAGAGAAGATCTGGGGGTGACATGGTGGCTTCCTGCCTGCAGTGATCTACAAAAAAGGGATTCGATTTGATCTTCTTGGCCCCAGAAGACAGAAGCAGCAGCTCTAGTTGGAAGTTTGAAAAGGGCAAATTAAGGGCTAATTAATTTAAGAATTGGCAGTATCCCAAAATACAATGGGCTGCCTTGGGAAGTAGTGGCTTCTCCCTCAGGGAGTAGTTTCAGAAAAGTTTGGATCACTATCTTTGGGGTATGCTGTTGAAAGCTTCCTTGCTCAGGTACAGGTTAGACAATATGTACTCTAAGGTGTCTTTCAAATTAGATTCTATGAAAAATGGTGCAGGATGAGAAGGCGTGAATGGGCTGCAATCTATACTACAGGAGGGAGTGGAAGAACACATTCTGACAATGCCAAAGATACAGAGAAACACTGTATGTGTATGTGGAAAAAAACTGGGGGAGTGGGGAGGGAGAGGAGGAAATAGAAAATACCAGCATGGTAGCTACAGACTTAAACTCATTAAAAATGGAACACTGCTGTTTCTTTCTCAATAATCCAATAAACTTAACAGTATTAGTCTGAAAAGGAAGAAACCAACAGCACTCCTCTTTTCTATCGAGGAGAGATTATAGATTTTTCTGGTTTGTGCCAAGTAATAGAACTTCCCTGATTCCTTTAAAAGGCTACTCCTCTGCAGCATCTCACTGCCAGAACATTTCTCTTAGAATTCACCTTAACCTCCTGACCTTTTACACCTTTAAATGTCAAGTATAAAAGGCAAGGGGAAAGCACTGTTTAAGAACAAGGCATTCCAAACACAGCTCATCTCTTCACTGAACATGACACTGAATCTCTGTCTGGAGCACATGGAATACATCTCGCCTCAGCTTTCTGACTCCCCCCGCCCCCACGGAGCTCCTGCACGGTACCCTGAGCCTCAAAAACCCACGGTGAAAGCATAGGGCCTGGGACATATAATCCTGTGCTGTCTGGCATTGTCTGCACAAGTGCGGAGTTTAGTTAAGTGGTGTTAAATTTGAAACCTATGTTTACATGTGGAGAACAAAGGAGATTGGGAAGTGATCCTGTTGAACAGTCCGGGCAGACAGCACCTTCTGCACGACAGGCCAGATGTCTTAAATGATGGGAGTCATTAGGACAGAGACAGGAAGAACCAGGCACTGTGGCCTATTCCAGGCGCCAAGACCTTTTCGGAAAGGAAGCTTCGTTCACAAAACTCTCCCCAGCACCCAATCCTCTTCTAAACTTTTCCACTTCTCTCAAAGGCACCAGCCTTCTTCTTGTCTCCAAGATTTGCAAGCCCAGCATCATTCTGGATTCCACTCTCCACTTTCCCACATGGTGAGCATCCTGGTGTAGGCCCTCTCACCGGGACCACTGCCCACCGGTCTGCTGTAGGGGTGTGGGGGGCCACCTGCCTCAAGGCTTTGCTGGCTCCCATCTTGCCTCCTTCAGCTGCCTCGATGATTTTTCTTCAGCATGAGTCTGACCACAGCTCACTAAACTCCAGATCACCACTGCCTCTGTTTGGCCTTTAAAGGCCTTCACCACTTGGCCCCAACCTACCTTTTCTGTCTCAGAGTCCATTATCCCACTTCCAAGCTTTAGGTTCCAGTAATTCTTCTCCTTACATACACTCTCCATTTCCCCTTTCTTGGTCTTTGTCCTGGCTGTCTGCACATGCCATGCATTCCCTCTTGCCCTGAAGGGACCTTCAGCGTGAAGACTGTCTTGATCCTCGAGACTGCTCAAGGCCCCTTCCTTCCCTGCACCACCTAAGATTTATTCTGTCTACAGACACTATTTCCACCGACAGAATGCAAGCTCCTTGAGGGCAGAGACTGGTTTGGTTTGATTTTGTTTTTGACATCCTTGGAGTCAAGTAGAGTGCCTGGCACATAGTAGGCACTGAATAAAACGTTGACTGACTATGTGACTTCAGGTGACAACTTCTTTGGGTCTCGGTTTCTTAATCTGCCTCGCCCCCACTAAAAATAGAAAAAGAAAAAAGACAAACAGAGAAAAGAAGATCTGAACTAGATAACGCCTAACACACCCTCTACAGCCAAGCCTCTATGACTCTAACGCGGGGTGGCACACAGGCAAGAGAAAGCAGTCCAAGCCTGCAGGTGTCCCAGGAGATTCCCAACCGGGCCCTCTAACGCTGCCTTGCAAACATGAAGGAATCGCACCTACCCATCAATGACCTGTCCTTTGGAAAGTGGGACGTACAAGTGAGAGGAAGGCAGAGCCCAGGAGATGGGCTCCATCCCACACCCAGTACTCAGCCGTCTCCAGCTTTTTTGTCTGGGTCAGGGTTAGCCCCCAACTGGAGCTTGATTTCCTTAACTGTGGCCCCGCCCCTTTTCTTTAATATTATTCAAAGCATCTCTGAAACGCTAGATACTCAGGAAGCACTTACTGAAACATGCATATCACCAATTTCTTTGATGAAAGCTGGTAATGTGTCCGCATGCCCCAGATCAATCAGGAGATCATTCTGTAAGACCTGGCCTTTCCCCTGCCTGACCACAGGGCTACTTCAATGCTCCTTCAGGTGGCTTAGGCCACTAACGGGACAATGTCTAAGACAGGGCACTGCTGGCAGGCTGTGTCCTAGAGCAAATAAAGCACCAGACTTGGGAGTCACAGGAGAACAGCTTTGACACCTCATTCTGTGTCCCTTTCTAGGCCTCAGTTTCCTCATCTGTAAAGTGAAGGGTCAGGCACTAAGTGATCTCAAAGGCTCTCTTCCAGCTCTTGGTACTATGAGTCTATAAAATGAGGATAAAAATATCTGCACAACCTATTCTGGGTGGCTGCTGCAAGACAAATGTTTTATAAACAAGTTATTCCCTAAGTGACATGGACTCCAACCTCTCACTCTCTTTCCATTCACACTGGGAGATACACTTGCCAAATCACACAGTTACAGCAGGGAAACTGTAAAACCGTTTCTACACTGGAAGGGCACAAAACAAGACAGGGATGAACACAGCAGAAGAGTGAACAGTGCCGTATCAGCATAATGACAGACCATGAAAAAGATCCAACTTTGACATGCCTCCCAGAATTCTCCAGGTGTTGCTAGAATCCTACCTCCTGAATCAGTAATGGATTGATCCTGAGGGCCCAGAAAAACATGGCAGGGAACATGTCACCAACAGTACTTTGAGTTATGATCATGGACAACTCTGGTTTCCTCTCTGTCAATTAGAAAGAGTTCCGGAAGTTTCCTTTAATCTATTTCTCTGAAATTATGGGGGTGTAATAGGTGGCTTTTCAGAGAAGGGCTGAAGGAAACCTTTTTTTGCAGGAGGCTTTTCAAAGAAGAAAAGATATGAGCATATGTCATTAGAAACAACAAAAGTTTTGCTCGCTTCTATCTCCACTAAATTTATGATTCTACTGGTATTGACAATAATAGCAATGAGCATTACATTTCCTCCTAATAATCCCGTGAGGGGAGGCAGGAAGGAATCTCAGCACCACATTTGTGCAACACTGGAAGCTGAGGCCAAGAGAGATGAAGTGACTGGTCCACAGCTGGGCTGCTGGTCAGTGTCAGAAGCCTCCCAATATGCATCTTGCCCTCTTTATAGTCCACCACATTACTGTGCAGGGCTGGCTCCTCCACTGTCCATCAATCCCACCAATAGCTGTGCACACATTCTGAGGGGGCCCAAGCTCACAGCCACATCAAAATACTTGTCAGTGCTTCACTCTGAAGTCAAAGTCAAAAGCTTTCTTCCAAGGACCGTTTCAGCAATTCAGAAAACAAGGCTAGGACTTGGAGGGGAGAGAAGGAAACCCCAGGGAGTTTTCTCCAACTCAAACAGCAAGGCAGAAAACTTACGGGCCCTTACCCACAACACTCAAGTTCAAGAATCATGGTGAGCTGACAGAACTCACTGGAGAAATTCATCAAGGCAGGAAACACGCACAAAGATTGCTCACCAGCCCTGCCCTGCCCATGAAGGTACATGTAAAACAGAGCACATTCTCTGGGGCATACATCATGGAATCCAAGGATGATTCACAGTCCTCCCTGCCCTCTCTCACTGCCAAGGGTATCTCACTGAGCCTTGCTGGCCAGAAGAGTCACTTCCAAACAGCTCCCTGGACGCACACAACTCTGGGAGATGCGGGGGGGGGAGGGAACCGCATTTGGTCGGGCTTTCTGTTCCGTGCCAGATGTCCCCAACACCACCCCAGTGGGCCCTGCCCCCGAAGGCGACTGGCTCTGCCGCTCAGAGTGGAGGGCAGGGATGAGACCCAAGGGCGGTACTTACGCGGCATGATCCCCCGGCTCACCAGCTCCTCCCGGGTCCGCCTTTGCTGAAGCTTTAGCTGGAGCGCTGCACGGTGGAGAAAACAAGGAGACACGCGGTCAGTGGGGCAGAGCACCGCGGAAGGCCCGCTTTAAGATTCGACATGGGCTTTGCCTTTCAGTCCCAGGCCGTGAGGGTCTAGTGTCATAAGGAGAGGCCTGGGAGTTGTGAGCACCCACAATTGCAGAAGTGGCCCGACGGAACGCAGCTTCCGTATTTGGCTGTGGGCGGCAGGAGGGGAAGTTGTGGAGGGTCTCGCAAGGCGATAACAATCCACACAACTCAGAAGCCTCGCCTCTTGCACAAAACCTCCTATACCAACGCACTTCTTCCTGAGACTAGAAGTTTGAAAAAAGGCAAGATGTCAGACTCCCATCCATTAGAAGGGCCTTCAACATGGCTGCATTTCCTAGGTTAATCAGAGTAGCATAAACACAGTAATTATGCGGCTCACACTGGGCATGGCTATGGCAGCTGTTTCCAATGTACCTGTGCACTGTTGGCAGGGCTCTGTCCACTTCCCTGTCCATGTACCCCTTTGACCTTCTCCCCTTCTTCACCCTCCAGAGCACTCAAAGGCCTCTAAACTCTCTGGAGATGAGGAAGCCTAAGGAGATGATTCAGAGCACATCAGGACGGTGCTCAACTTTGGTACCAAGAGAGTGCTTGGTGCCACCCTGGTGTGGCAGCACAGCTTGATAAAGTTTGTTTTTTAACCAAAAAAAGAAAAAAAGAAAGAAAAAAAAGAAAAAGATAAAAATCAGTTCTCTATATTTCAAAAGCCAAAAAAAAAAAAAAAACCACCTAAAGGTCTAAACTACACCCTACATGAAGCCACAGGCCTTTCCTGTATTTATAGACAGTTTACACAAGTGAAACATGTACTCTGTGATAGGCCAGAGCCTGAGTTATAGAAAGATGTTTAAACGATACATCCGTAAATAGCTACAACTTTGCTAATAAGATGATTGACTGGGGTGTGTACCCAACCCCGTCATCTGCCTCTTCCATTAAAAAGTTTTTCATTGGTTCCCAAGTAGGGATGATAGAAAGTGACATGAATGTACCCACTCTCTTCTTAATGGCTAATAATCATAATGATAATTAGTATTATTGTTGCTGCTAATACATGTAGTGACTGGAAAGCACTCCACGTATATTCATCTCATTTGGTTCTCATCTGAAGAAACTGAGGCTGGGAGAAGCTAGCTGACTTGCTCAGGGGCACAGAGCTGTTAAGCTTCTAAGGGACGATCCAGCCCCAGGTCCTCCTGAGCCCCAAATCGTGGCTCTGTCTACAAGGCTTTAAGCCTCTCTTCCAAAGTTAACAAAAGTTTAGAAATGATCAAGATCACAGGCTAGAGCTGCTTAGTTCCCACTATTTCCTGATGTAGAACCCTGCCATTTTAGTCAGACAGGGCTTTGGTCACAATACTCATTCTGCCTGAGCTTTTCTCTCCTTCCTTTCACTCATCTAAATCCTGCTCACTGAAGAGGACCAGTGAGAAGGCTCACTCCAATACAAAACGTTCCCCAGTAACTTCTACCCAGAGTAGGTTTCTTTACCTGGTATCTGTGAAATTTAAAAAAAAAAAAATACAGCTTTATTCTAATTAAGATTTTCTTTCTAATCCTATGCATTTAAAAACATTATTCTGAGTACAAACAGAGTAAAGAACCTGGATTTAGAAGAAATAATAATAACTGAATGATATGATCCCCATCACTCATATACCAGCAAGCGTGAGACTAGTATGTGTGTATACATGTGTATACATGGAGGGCTTGCACGGCTTCCTTATTTCTCTAGGGTGAGTAAGGGGACCAGAACAAGATGCTCTACCCAATACTGCTAGAGATCAGGGCGACTTTTGGGGGCCACGGTATGTCACACTGGTGAGTCACACACTAAAATCCTCAGATCTTTTTCATATGAACTATTATCTAAACCACATGAACAACACGTACATGAACAGTTGATTTCTTTAAACACAAGAATAGGCTATTATGGTGGAAAGAATACCGGATTTAGAGCCTGCAACCCTGCGTTCAAATCTTAACTCTGATCCAACTTATTTTCAGTGTGACCTTGAACACACAAGAGAAGCCCCTCTTCCTATCTCTACGCTAGGCTAGTGGGTCGTCAGACCATATTCTCTCCCTCCTCCCCTCTCTCCTGGCTTCCCAGGCCTCCTTCAGATCTCAAACTATAAATCCCACCTTCTTCAAGAAGTCTTTTCCAGTCCCTTTTAAAGCTGTGCCTTATGTCTGTTGATGATTTCCCATTCATTCTCTATCATCCTGGTTGTTGTGTTCTCTGGAGGTGGGGCTTGACTTTTGACTCTCTTTGTATCACCAGGGCTCAACACAGTGCCTGACATACAGTAAATGCTTAATAAATATGCACTGACTATTTGTACTTCGGTTTTTTATGTATAAAATGAGAGGGCTGTATCAGGGTCCTTTTGGGGCAGCTGGGCAGCACAGCAGATAACCAGAGTACCAGGCCTAGATTCAGGAAAGCTCATCTTGACTTCAAATCTCTCCTCAGACACTTACTAGCTGTATGACCCTGGGCAAGTCACTTCATCCTGTTTGCTTCAGTTTTCCTCATCTGTAAAATGAGCTGGAGAAGGAAATGGCAAACCACTCTAGTATCTTTGGCAAGAAAACCTCAAATGGGGTCACAAAGAGTTGGACATGACTAAAAACAACTCAACAACAACAAGGGTCCTTTCAGATTTAATTCTTTTGTTACCAGAAGATCTTGTTTGTTAAAACATACCCATCACCTGCAGATGGGATACTCCCTTTTCTGAGGTGGGATGGTTGGGGGAATAAAAGTAACCTAACTACATTTACAATGCAGGAATCACCTTGTGTTAAGAAGCACACATTTTATGAAAAAAATGCTCTAAATCACTACTGATTAGAGAAATGCAAATTAAAATAACTCTGAATAACTCTCAGATTGGCTAAAATAACAGAAAAGGAAAATGACAAATGTTGGAGGAGACGTGGAAAAATTAAGACACTAATACACTGGTGTAGATCTGAACTGATCCAACCATTCTGGATAGCAATTTGGAACTAGACCCAAAGGGCTATAAAACCATGCTCTTTGGCCCAGCAATACCACTACTAGGTCTGTATCCCAAACAGATCAAAGGAAAAGGAAAAGGACCTATTTATACAAAATATTTACGCAGTTCTTTTTGTAATGGCAAAAAAACTGGAAACTGAGGGGATGCCCATTAATTGGGAAGGGCTGAACAAGTTGTGGTATATGATTGTTACGGAATACTATTGTGCTATAAGAAATAATAAGCAGGATGGTTTCAGAAAAACCTGGGAAGACTTACATGAACTGATGCAAAGTGAAATTAGCAGAACCAGAACACTGTACACAGTAACAGCAATATTGTATGATGATCAACTGTGAATGACTTAGCTATTCTCAGCAGTACAACGATCCAAGACAATTCTAAAGGACAAATGCTGAAAAAAGCTGTCCACCTCCAGAGAAAGAACTGATGAAGTCCAGAAGCAGATCAAAGCATACTTTTTTTTTTAAGCTTTATTTTTCTTGGAGTTTTTTGGTCTCCATTTTCTTTTGCAACATGGCTAACATGGAAATGTTCTGTATGACTACACACGTAATAATCTATATAAAATTGCTTGCCTTCTCAAGGAGGGGGGATAGGAGAGAGAAAAACTCAAAAAAAATTTTCTTTGGCCTTTTGGTGATGTAATTGGGGTTAAGCGACTTGCCCAGGGTCGCACAGCTAGTAAGTGTCATGTGTCTGGGGCCAGATTTGAACTCGGCTCTTCTTGACTCCAAGCCCATCCACTCTGCCACCTAGCTGCCTCTAAACTCAAATTTTTAAAACAAATGTTTCAAAAAAAAAAAAAGCAGCACATGTTTTACACTAGATCTGATGTTCTGCATTAGCAGATTTTGTAGTTCTGTATAGGACTCCCAGTTATTTCACTAGAATTCAGTGTGGTACAGGGAAAAGAGCCCTGAAACTGGAGTCAGAGGACCTTCATTCAAATAAGGTGCTAACTGCCACTTACTGCCCTGTGATTCTGGACAACTCACTTGATGTCTCTGGGCCTCAGGGTCTTCATCTACAAAACATGCAGGTTGGATCAGATGGCTGCCAAAGTCCCTTCCATTCTAGATCTATGATCCTCTGAACTCAATTAATCCTCCAAGATCTAGGAAAGTAAAAGGAAAGACCAGGGCAATACACCACTACAGTGCTGGAGTGGGAGGGCAGGCCAGGCCCTTGAACCACTGAGTGTCCTTTCCATAAAGAAATTCACTTAGTCCAGGAAATGTGAGGAAGGGTGAAACGTTCCACTGTGCTCAGGATCACTCCCTGAGTGAGTCCACAGCCTTAGCAAGTGAGGGTGACATGAGCAGGGAAGTCTCATTGCCTCAACAGTCAAACAGAAAAGTTATCTAGTGGGAGTTTGGATCTTTGGCCCAGTCTCTAAGAAGACAGAAACAAGCAACAGAGACAGGATGGTTCAGGCCAACGTCAACGAGCTTAGGTGCTCTTGCCCTCTAAATTAACCCTGAAATTTAATTTCTCCTCAGAACATTGTGAAACCATAAAATAACAAGGGACATAAAAGGGTGCAGTGGAGATGTGAGAGAAGAAGGAAAAGAAAATTTTATACTATTTCATGAGAGTTCTAGGGAAGTTAGCAGAAAATCTTTCTATCTGTCTATCTCTATGTACAATGACATATTACATCAATATAGAATAAATTGTTCTTAATTAGAAAACCTACAAAACTTTATGAAATTCAACAGGTCTAAATACCCCAAAGAAACTACTCCCTGTCAATCAACATTTTTTAAGAGCCTACTATGTGCCAGGTACTGTGCTAAATACTGGGGATACAAAGGGAAAAGCTGTCCTCTGCCTTTGAGGAGCTCACAATCTAATTGGGGGGAGGGGATGGGATACAACTCGCTTAAACAACCATATACAAACAACATATGTGATAAATAG